CTTCTTTGTGAGCAAATCCTGCTTCTTCTTCAAGGTTGATATCAAAAGTCACCTTCACTGTACTTTCTTTAATTATATAGCTCACCCACCATCCTGGGAACCCCTGATGGCAGAAATTGTGTCTTCCTCATTTTCGTATTCTTAGTAACTGACATAGAAACCATTCAAAATGCGTCGAAGGAATGAACAAATGACTATTCTGGGAAAGTTTTCCTCAACAATTCCTTTTTTACTTTATTCTTTTCTTTCTAAACGTCATCATTCTTTGACTTTAGACTCTTTGCCTAAGATAGCAATCATTAATGGTCCTCTATGTCAGGTAGACTCAGTTAAAAATACCTTTGGTTATTGCTGTTTTGTGGAAGGAGGAAGTTATCTATTTCCATTTTTGCCAAATGAGACTGTATAACTCAATTGTGATGACAAAAGAGATGATAATCTGGCTGGTGTGGCTCAGTTGGTTGAGGATCATCTCATGCACCTAAAGGTTGCCAGTTCCATTACTGGGCAGGGCACATGCCCAGGTTGTGGGCTCCATCCCCAGTAGGGGGCATGCAGGAAGCAGCCTATCTATGTTTTGCTCTCACATCAGTGTTTCTCTCTTTCACTCCCTCTCCCTTTCTCTCTCTCTAAAAAATCAGTAAAAAATATTTTTTAAAAGACATGATAAAAGTTTAAATATGATAAATTAGCTATATATTTTCAGAGATTCATAATAAAAGAGAAAGTCATAGAGTTGGAAAACTGACATGTTTCAACAGATCTAGTCTATAATGGTAAATAGCACAAATGAAAAAAAGTCAATGCAACATAACTAAATTAAAACAATCTTATTACAATCCAAGTCTGAAATATCAAAAAACACTGGATTATTTTCAGATCACAGCAAGCTGCTTGAAGGAAAACAGTTTATTGGTTATGTGATATGACATTATGACCTTAATTTTAAAGTTGGCTGATATTTTTTTCTCAAAAATCTTCAGGCCTTGATGAGCAATGGTAA